CCCCTCTCTCCCTTTCCATTTTCAATTTACTCTCCCTAAGCGCGCGGTCACTCGATTTTAAACTCCACCGTAGTCCCCACCGCCCGCCACGTCATCCTCCCCCACCCGCTTCCAAAAGTGTCTCACCCTCGCATTCATGATCTCCAAGATTCCCCCAGCTCCTATCCTCCGACGGCTTAACTCAAGACTCCTCGGATCTCTATTCGCCGACGACCGGCGGCTCCTCCACTCACCTACATTGCTTGCTTATAAAAGGGGCAAACTCCGCCTCTTGCCTTTTTGCCCTCCTTTAAACTCGAGCATGTGACGTCTGACCAGTTGGTTGCTCCTGCTACTCTTCATCTTTACTTCTCGTTTTGTCTCTCTCCCCTCGTCGCTTTCTCTCATCAATGGCGGGGCCTTCGTTCTGCTCTTCTTCGTCGAGGACGAGGAGCAGCTCGCCTTTCAGCCAGCGAAGGCCCCTCACGAGCTCTCATTCATCTTCGTCTTCGTCGGCTTCGTCTTTTATGAACGGGCGTCTTTTCCCACGCTCATCTCCTTCTTCGGTCTCGTCTCACTTTTATGGTTCTGGTGGGGTAACGAGATCAGTCACGCCGAACCGCGGCCGCTGTGAGTACTCCAGCAACCACGCACCGATCGGTTTTGTCTCGGCCGATGAAAACGTCATGGATGCTGGTGATGCTGTAGGCTCCGGGGATAGCATCACTGTCACGGTCAGGTTCCGGCCGCTGAGGTAAAATGGGGTCGGATCTGGTTAGGGCGTGGTAGATCTGTTGTTTTTTGCATTGAGTGGGATCTTTAATTTGTGCGGGTTTATGTTGTGGATTTTGTTTTGAAGCGAGAGGGAGTTCCAGCGTGGAGATGAGATCGCGTGGTATGCGGATGGGGATAAAATGGCGCGCTGCGAGTATAATCCGGCCACGGCGTATGCATTCGGTAAATATATTTTTCATGGCTTGGAATTTGAATTGCACTCATTAGGAACTCTGAATGCGCTCTGATGAGCGGGAACTAGTTCTAATTTGTGCTTCGCATCCCTGCTTGTGGGATGCAAATTCCGTCATTTTTTTATGAGGCATTTCCTATTGTTTGTGGTGGTACTCGAATGTTTCTCACATTGCAGTCACTTTATCAAGAAATGCAGAACGCGCGCCTTCATGTAAATTATTGTCACAGAAGGGGGCAAGAAAACCAGTTATAACGCCTGCATTTTCTCAATAAAAAAAACATTAGAGAGTTCAATTTAAATAAACTGATAGAAACTTGAGAAAAGCTTCCATTTTTTAGTGCGTTGGCCAAGCAATACTGTGTTATACTGTGCTGTAGAAAAAATACAGTTACTATTATTCACATAGATGTCTGAGTTGCATTCAAGTGCGTTGCTTAAAAGTTAAACCATGGAGGATGTGAAAAGACAATAAAGATTATTTCAGAGGTTACTCAGAAAAATTAAACCTAAGACATGCCTGCATTTTTAAAATGCAAAACAATTCATGAACTTTCCCAAATTTCTTTGAACAGGGAAATTTTACATTGAGGGGGATAAATAATGAATTTTTGGCACTTCGAGGTTGTCACAAAATTATTACTGCTTTCCTTTTTTATTTTTTATTTTTTAGTGATCATATGTTAATTATCATGTCATAAAACATTTTTTGGGATCCTGAAAGTATCGTTTCATCTAGGATTCTAAGTCTTTAGCATGATATTTGTAAGAAAAAAATAACAATTAATACACATCCTTATCAAGAGTATCTAGGTATATTGACCGTATTTCATGTACCAATTGCGAGGCGCTTTCTTGGTATCCATTATAGGTTTGTTGAACATCCTTATGAAAGTCAAATGATTTAAGATATAAATCTCGAGTTGTTTGATGGTCACGGCCTGTGCATGTTTTATAGTTTAAAATAACTTTGTCCTACTGGGGAATTTTCAGAGGCAAGGGATGTTTTAGTTGCCAAGTAAGTAACCTAGGCAAGGGATGTTTTAGTTGTCAAGTAAGTAACCTTCTCTTGAACTTTTTTGCGTTCGATTGTGGATTTAAATTAGGAATGACTCATAAATTTTTCTTTTTCAAATTTATTGTGTTTTTGCAATAGAATCATTCCATTATCTTTAGTACTATCAAAACTATCTATCATATTAAGCTTCAAGTTATTCTCAATAATCTTTCTCAATGTTTTAAAATGCGAAGGCTTGAAGTAAAGCATTTGATATCCATGTAAATTGAAACTTCAACTTGTAAGCGCAAATCATACAATTTTTTTTTAAATTCATTTATTGGAAACATTAAATAATATCATGATAATAGAAGCTACAGAAATAATAAAAATAAGAAATTTTCATACTTAACATAATGCATATTTTTAAATTGTCAATTTTATTTCATCAGTTTAACACATCAAAACATGATCACATATCATTTGTTATGTAATTTTTTTTAATTAATTTTATTATAAAAACAAGAATGATGGAGCAAGCTTAAAAAAAGCTTAAATTAACATAAAAATTACATGTTGTTGAGTTAAAATTAGAACCGTCAAATTATGAGTGGTTCACTATTCAAATTAAGAATACTTAAAAAAATAGGTGTTTGCAGTTGGATGATTGGGGAAGAGAAAAAGATAAATAATCTTAAAAAAACAACAAATATGTGGTAATGTGTAAGTTTAATGTGAAAAGAAAGTGTAGATGTTATGTTATGAATATAATATATTATGAAATAGATGATAATGCATCAATAGCATGATGATCATTTTTTTTTTTGTCTTAAAACTTTTGAATGTGAATCTAGGGATAGATAGGAAGTAATAATTTTATTTTGTTTTGGGTGGCTATCATAATTTTCCTTCTTATGGGGGGTTCTTTGAGGTTTAAGTGTTATTTAAGTGGAGTCAGAAGTCTTACGGATGGTGGATGGCCAAGGAAAATTTTCACTAGTTGGGAATTTATTGATAGATTTTCATCTGTAATTATACTATAATATTATATAACATCTTACATTATGTCATATGACAAGCCACTTAGAGCAAAATATATTTATCAAATTGGTCAGATGAAAAAAACAACATCAAATTTGACAAATAACCTCATTTTTTTTGGTTGAAAATGACATGCTTACCCTTCTCCGCGTTGTGCTCTAAAGCCTACTGTGAATTTGGCCAAATTTTTTAATCTTAATCTTCAAATAACAATTTTTTTATGATTTTTTGTATTACATATGTCATATCAATTGACTTAAATTGGTCGTAAGGTGTTATAAGACAGATTGACATGCCATAATATATTATAATATTTCATATTTTATTTTGTTATGATGCCCTATATTATTATATTCAGCTATCATATTATATTTATTCCTATAGTATTTCATATGACAGCCACCTAGTGTGAAATAGAACCATCAGTTTAGCCAAATGACTTAAGAAACAAGAGAGAAACATATGTTAGTGATTTGTGGAATGGAAATGACTTAAATTGTTATTTATGAGTCTTTTATATAAATTGATTTGTGGAATGGAAATGACTTAAATTTTTTTTAGATTAAAGTCAGTGAACCTAGTGAGGATGTAAAATTATAAGAAACAAGAAAGAAACATATGTTAGAGTTTACAAACCTTATATATAGTTGATTCACACTCTAATTTAAAGGTTGACTGCAAAGTTATTGATACCGAAGTTAACCCAAACTATAATAGAATTGGAAATATTATTGCTAAAATTCCAAAATATTAAAATGAAGTCTCTTCAAAGCTGGAAATTAATGACACCAAATACAAATAACATCCTAAGATGAGAACGCATGTGGTGGAGTACAAATGGAAGTAGGATGGTGTAGGTTGGGGGTTGCGGGTCAGCCGTGAGCTGGGGAAAAGGTGTTGGGACAGGAGTTGGAACATGGGCAGAGGGTGGCGATTGGAACAGGAAGGTTGAAGAGGGTCTGACGGCAAAATGTTTGGGTCGCAGGATGGATTGCAGGGAACAAGTAGGGTCGTGGGATGGATTTTAGGCAGTAGGTAGGGTCATGGGATGGGTTTTAGGCAACATGTTGGGCGTGGGATCGAATGAATTTTAGGCAACATGTTGGGCGTGGGATGAATTCAAGGCAGTAGGTTGGGCGTGGGATGAATTCAAGGCAGTAGGTTGGGCGTGGGATGAATTCAAGGCAGTAGGTTGGGCGTGGGATGAATTCAAGGCAGTAGGTTGGGCGTGGGATGAATTCAAGGCAGTAGGTTGGGCGTCGGATGAATTCAAGGCAGTAGGTTGGGCGTGGGATGGGAATTGCTACACATTAGTAAGGTGAAAGGGGGTTGTGCTTGTGGGCAGACAACAAACAAATAAGGGGAATAGTTAGAGGATAACTTGCCCTATGGGAGCGAGTTACAATCGGAGTATCCCTTGAACCTTTGAAGAAGTTCACCACTTCAGACGTGTTACAACCTGAGCACTTTCTCGTCTTCAGATACAGCCTTAGAAAACAACTGATGACGACAGGCTGGACAAATTTCTCAAACACAAAAACTGAACCTTAAAACCAAATAACAACATATTTATAATAAACTAAGATAATTAGGAGAGGGGGAGGAGAAGGCGACAACCCTTCAACCCTAATTAGGGTCGGCCATCTTAGCCTCTCTACTGAAGTATAAATAATTCTTGAAGTGCTATAGAAAAGCACATGGGTGGCATTCTTAAATTATGTTTTTTTTACTTTTGCAAACCACTCCAATCATGATAAATTTACTAAATATTTGATTCCAATTAGGAGTCCTCATTAGTGCTTTTTTTGGCCGCCTTGCGTAGAATCTTTCATTAAAAAGCATTTTATATCGAAGAATATATAATATGTTTCACATAAAAAGCTTAGGATAATAAACATTGGCTTACTTATTATTACATTTAAACATTTGATCAATCACACTTAAGTTGTCATGAACATATCCATATTAGTTTTAATGGTTAGAGTATATTATTATAGTAAAAATGATTTCTATAATTCTGGTAAGAGTACACAAGATTAGTTTTTATTTTGAGTATATCAGGCACATGTTGGGGCGCATCTTAGGTGTCTTTGTGCTTGACACATATTTTTTGGCTGCGAGAAGCTTTTATTTTTATGCGTTTCATCGGTACCACATCTTTTGTTGAAATATACATTCATGCAGTGTCATAGTTTTTTTTGGTAACGCCCTTGTATTTTCATTTCTGGCTAGTTCATTAACTATTCGTCTCTTACCACTTGCAAATATGCAATAGTCATTGGTGGCAAACTATGAATAAAACAGCTTTAAAATATAGAACTAACGGCTTTCCTTAAACTCTGTTAGTTTATTGTCATATTCGTTTTCCTGTTTTACAGCTTGTTCCTATTAAAATTGATTTCCATTACTTGACATGATCATTTTATGTTATATTCTTGAACATTATATTGACCTTATGCTAGTTTTTTATAAATGCATGCACTCTTGACAATTATATTTATCTTGCCACATTTCTGTGTTTAGACAGAGTTTTTGGCCCTTCCACAACATCTCAAGTGATTTATGATGTTGCTGCTCGGCCTGTTGTAAAAGCAGCAATGGAAGGCATTAACGGTGAGTTCTACTCTTCATTTTAGTCTGAGTTGATTCTTTTATGAATCACCATAAATTTCAGGTTCTTTGAACTTCGAATCACAGTTTTAGTAAACCAAGTTGCACAGGTATTAAAAGAGAAGTCTTCAGTGTTAGGGATGTCTCAATTTCTGCAATTGTTGTAATCATAGAACGTTTTTTTAGTCCTTTGTGTTATATATGCCGTCATCATGGCTGTCTATGAAATCTTTTTGGTCATGTTCTCTTTTCAAAGTTTATGGCCATTATTTATTTGACTTAACAACTCTTATACTTGTTGTTCTTCTGAATTGTAGGAACTGTTTTTGCTTACGGTGTTACCAGTAGTGGAAAGACCCACACGATGCATGTAAGCCAACCTTTTTTTAGAATATTTATGATTGCAATATTTTTTGTGGAAGAAATGAAATTAAAAAAACTTTAAAATTTTTTATAACTATACTTAAAAGCCTAGCTTCCATATGTTTATATATGTACCTAGTACAACAAATAAACTATCTAGTATGAAAATTTTGAGCTATGTCAAACATATTGTGTTTTTTATTGTTAGATTTTCTTTTTCCGTATTATATTTTTGATGCGTGTTAGAAAATTCACAACGATAGAGTAATGAATTATTGTTTTAGCAATGCACGAGAATTCAACATACACTCAAATAATAAAAATGACATGGAGAGACACTAGAAGTTCTACCGTGGGAAACTCGGAAGGGGATAAAATCTTGGGGCTCATCCTAGTCAGAAATAATCTATTTTAGCTTGATGTGTACATGTACAAGGCCTTGTTCCACAAGTCGGAAATGTTTACGCAGTTGTAGTTTTCGTATGTAGAATTTGTTGCGCAATAGTCAGGAGCGGTTGTTGGAACTTCATTGCACCGCCTTCGAAGTGCATCTTTGTGCTGTGTTTAGTACGAAGTGTTGCTTCGTAGAATGCTTCATTGCTCTGCACTTTGAACAACGGTTCTTTACTTGGCAATGTTGATCGTTACTTTAGATAACACTCTTACTTCACAATGTTGGTCGTTACTCTGCACATCATTTTGCTACTCCGAAATGTTGGGGATTGTTCAACAAGTTGCTTCGTTGCGGTCTACAGTGGTCGGTAAGCAGCGGTCTACAGTGGTCGACGACTACAGGAGCGGGAAGCATTTTTCTGATCTTCAACGCTTAACATTGAACTTCACTCATCTCTCAATCTTTCTCCGAGCTTAGGTCTTAGTCCTCTTTCATGGAGATTGTAGGGCTCTATTTATAGAGTCTAGGAGAGGTCTCTCCGCAAATATTAAAAAAATATGCATCACTCCATCAAATGACATTTGCTTTTCTTAATGGTGTCAGAATTAAGTGATCTTGGGCTTGTTGGATTTGTCTCTTCGTGATGCTAGATTTGACTATAAGGTTGTCAAAATTGGAATTCTTTTGACCTTCTAATTGGGTATTAAATGCTATTAAAAATAGTTTAACAGCTCAATCTGTGCTTGATTTGATTGAAATCAGATCAACTTTGGTGTCATTGTGTTTGTCTCATCGAGCCGGTCAATTTGATTATATGTTTGTTGAAATCAGAGTTTTGGATAATTTTTATTTAAAACTTGAACGTTCCTTGCTAAAAAAAATGTTCGAGATTCATCACACGTCTTGAGAATCATGTTAGTAGATGAAAATTTGTTGATGGCATATCAATTTTCATTCAATATAGGAAGAAATAGCTGTTAGGTAGCTGTTCAAACGAGAAAGATTCTAATTTGGTTTGATCCGATGGGATAATGATTAATTGAACACATTGGCTTTTCTATCTTTATGCTAATTTGTAATTGCATTGCTTTATTTTATGTTGTCATTATTGTTATCACACACGTTGCATGCAATACTGACATATCAGTAGGAGTATCGATGGAGGCATATAAGAAGTGAACCATGGGGACAAGTTTGAATTTAGCCATTAAATTACTACTCTTTGTTGAAGGTTTGATCTTGATGGTGTGGGTGAAATCTTCAACTGCACTGCCCTTAATATTGTTGAATTCAACATTGGAAGGAAAATTATTGATGTAGTAGTTGTTTAAATTTGAAGGTTCTTTCTGATTATGATTGACAAAGATTGATTTTTAATATTCATGACCATTTTAATAATACCGCTAACTAGATCTAATGGCGACCCATTACCAGCTAGGCCTTTAATGAGGCGCAATATGTATGATGGTACGATGGAATTGATGAACATTTAGAGAACAAGCACACTTTTGAGTAATTTATCTGAATTAACCCTCGAATGTGTTAGTGAATTCTTCCACCGCAGCATGTGGATGATGCATTGATTCATTCTTTATGCACTGTTCGTTCATAATCAGTGGACATCTATAAGGTGAACTAGCAAATATTAGGAAGTTTTGACTCTCAGAGAAAGCACGATCAATCTGTGTAGTCAAGGTCAAGTTAACTCTAAACCCACTGGTGCACTAGTTGAAGCATATCATTAAAGTCCTATCCTGTTTTTAATGTGAGCTGTCTTTTTGCTGCTCGATCTGGCTCTGTAGAGTGGGCGGGTTGCTAATGTTCAATTAATATGCTGTACATTTTATTGGTAAGCGTCAGACTAAATTAGTGGTTCAGGGGAAACATCTGAGCTTCCTTTCTGCAGTTGTGCGCATGTTTGGGTTGAATTCTGCAGAATGTTTAGAAATAAATATGTTGACTCGGTTTTTTGATCGGGGAAACTTTTTGAGATGATCATGTCTGTGCTTATACACATCTATCCATGTTGATTTGCTTTGTTTCATATTTTCATTTTACAGGGTGACCAAAATTGTCCAGGTATCATACCATTGGCCATCAAGGACGTGTTCAGCATTATTCAAGATGTATGTTAGTTCTTTAATGCTTAGCTTTGTTATATTCTTTTTACCATTTAACATTTTGGGATGATAATGTAATCCATGCCTGTATGCATAGTGGAAATCCTATGCTTTGATTGCCAATAACTACCTCCAAATCCCATTTGAAACTGTTTTCTTGAACTTTCCTTGTGTAACTTTGACTGAAATTTCATGTTTTTGCTTTTATTTCTGTTGTTTTGGTTGTTTATTTTTTAGTGCTTTCATGTTACTGCATCCGAACTCTGTTCAGATCTGTTTTCTCTGCCTTTTGTTACTTAATTTTGACGAATATTTCATGATTTTGCTTCTATTATCGCTTTTTTTTGGATCCATTGATTCTTTTTTGTGCTTACAAACCGTGTATTGCAGACTCCAGGAAGAGAGTTTTTGCTCCGTGTCTCATACCTTGAAATATATAATGAGGTAACTAATGCTTCTTTTAACAAAATATACCATCATATTACTTATGCGTATCTGCTATTACCTCCTACTATTACCTCCTACGTAAAATTTTCAACTTAAACATCTACTTTGTTGCTTCACTTAATAGCAATCTGTTGGACATTTATGCATTTTTGAATTTAAAATACCCCATATCAATGAAAAAAAAAGGCAAATTTATCTATAGTAGTATTTGTGGCGTTTTGGACGAAAGTGGGGCAGGCGAAGTTGAAATTTATGGTCCATACTTTTGATATTTGATTATTAAAAATTTACACGCCAGGTTTGATAGGTGGGTTTCTCCAACATCTTGGCACACCAGGGGTAGATCTCATCTTTTGATGCAAGTTTCAAATATGAAAATCAAATACCTGTTATTTTTAATACTTTGAGGTTTATTTTGGATTTGTAGTTGATAAATTTGTTGAGACAGATTGTTGAATTGGCCCATAATTATTTTCCAAGACCCTATCTTCCTATTTATGAACATTTAAAATTTTATTCAGTCAGCACAATTTTCGATTGCGTGTACTAGATTTTATTGTTACCCTAAGTGCAATAAGTGACATAAGTAATGAAATTGATTAAGTTTTATAAAGAGGAAATTAAGAAAATGGTCGATGAATGTAAGTATATAGGTTAATTTTTAATGTTGATGGAATTTTAATAGCTTTCTAATTTGAAATGATATTTACTTTAAGAATAGCAATAAAATTATCTCATCATGGTTAGGCATATCCTAATCATTTTTGTTCAAATTTATGAAAATGTCCACTATTTAAATCACCATCTAAAATATCCTACATTTGGTTATACTTACAGTTGCAATATTGTGATGAGATGCATCGAAGACTTGTAGTTGATGCACCCCAAAGATTGAATTTGATGAGCTAAAAATTTAAATACAATTTTTTTAAAAAGCAAACAACATAGACACCATGACATACATTATTATGTTTCAACCAGGATTTGGTGTTATCAAGGGCACAACGTGGCTCCAACTTCTTAAACATCTCCTAGAGGGCTTCCATCTCCTGGGCATTGCTTAAGTGAGCTCCTTGGGACAAGATGACTTGTGCTCGTGTGCTTGCCTCCACAATTTAAAACTTTTTAATTATTTTGCAAAGCATACATGACCATATTACCAGATGAAAAGCTACAATTCGAATGATGTTGAAAAGTATTTGGGATGACAAAGCATGGAAACTATTTTATAGTTTTCAAACATTTTTAAGGAGGACAGTCGATGCACATGCATTGAGATTCATTGGGGCATCACCACTTGAAATCTAAGAGGCATGATGATTACATAGAATTAGAGTTTTCATACACAAATGCTCATAATCAACATCATATTTGATAACCTTAAAGAAATCGTATGATGCCAAAATCGATATGAAAATAAGATGATAAGAAATACAACACAATTACTAGTAATTTTATAGAAGTCAGAAATTTAAAATACAACAAACTAAGAACAAATAACAATGGGAAATACTAGGAATACTGTGTAGGTCGTGTTGGTTAGGGTTTGGACCTCCAACATGGCGGCGACTAGCAAGCTAGAAGGGGAGGACAACAAAACAATTGTTGTCTCTGGGCTGCAGCGACAGGTTGGACACAGAAAATCTGAATCAGTATGGACATAAGGTGAGAAGAAATATGACACAACCACTGGTAATTTTATAGAAGCAAAGAATTGAAAATACAACAAATTGAAATCAAATAACAATGATAAATATTAGGGGTTATGTGTAGGTGGTGCCAATTAGGTTTGGACCTTCGGGGTGGTGGTAAGCATGCGACTAGCAAGCTGGAAGGAGATGATAACAAGACAACTGCTGTTCCTGGGCGGCGACAACATTTGAACATAGAAAGCAACAAGTTTCCTATTTTCTAGGAGGCGACAACAAGACAACATTGAAGGAGATGTGGGAGAGATGGGGAAAAGGACAGAAAAAAAATATAGGAAGGATAAACATCACCTGGACACCAAGATACAACCAAAACACCACTCTAACCTTAGGATGCAACCCATAGATGGAGAATTAGATTTCAATGATTGTCCCAAAGCAAATTACGAAAAAAACTGAACCATAAATATCAATAAAAGTGAATATATATTCTTAGATATTTAAGAGTGGGCTCCCTCTTGAAAAGAGACTTCACTCCCAAGACTAGAGGGCCGACCGAACTTGAATAACCTTGGATCAAACCTCTCCAGGTATATAAGACGGCCGCGTCAGGGTATTTTGGGAATATTGCTGTATTTAGTCCATTAACAAGTAAGTTTAACTCAAGTATGTACGTTGTATCTTATCATATGATTTATAAGGGTTATAAATTTGGGCATCAATGCACCCTTTTTTATTCATTAACTTTCATGATGTCCTTTAAAATTCTCCTTTATTTAAGCTATGCAGCAGGCAGGGCTGATGGGATTACTAAATCTCATATTTAGTGGAGCATTTCTACGAACGATACTATACTAATTAATGGATTTCTAAGCGAACAAAAAATTTTAAACAAATTAATAGCCAAAGAATTGTACTTGTGAAGGACGTTAATTGAGTTCCATTCACTATTTGGATGAAGTGTCTATTGTAATTGTGGATTTCTCGCTTAGAAGAATGTTGACGCTTCTTAAAGTTTATTATGGAGAGCAAAGAGTAACTGTTTTAGTTTAATTTTCCACTTTAAAGAAAATGATGCTTATGTTGGGGGTAACAAATCGTGGGTAGGTGTGGTTGCCTTGGGAGAGGTAAATATGAATAACAAACCATTTTTTGTGAACACTATAGATTTTTGTATGAGTAACAGCATGGCAAAAAAAAATAGTAGCAAAGGCTGGAGTTGAATTGTGGATGTGGAAAGTGTGATGGATTTATAATGTTTTGATTATTGAGAATGTCCCGACCACTTGATCTGGGATTTTGGAGTTTTCAAAACAAGAACAAGTAACTGTAACATAAATTAAATTTAACACTATATTTCTAAATAACAAATAAAATAAACCTTATATATATTCTTAAAATTTTTTAAAATGTGAAAACAATGTAAGAACCATAAATCTATCAAGCATAAGCAAATGATTAAATAAATTGTTCTAACTAACCCAATGTGATAATTATCGTTCTAAATCACCATAATTTGAAGGAAGAGAAGTAATATATATGTTAATCATTTTATCAAGCTATAAAAGAATTATAAGATAAATTGAGTAATTTTCAGTGCAAAGTGCGAAAATAGTCCCCTGACTATTTACATGGGGTCATTTTTGTCTTAGAGCTTATTGAAGTGTCAAATTGATTCCCAAATTTTTTAAATTGGGATTCTAATAGTCCTCCATAGGGACTATTTTAGTCCCAATTTAAAGAGCATGGGGACCGACTTGACACTTCTATAAACTCATGGACACAAATGATCCCATATAAATGATTGGAGACTTTTTTGGCACTTTACTCATATTTTGAATGACAATTATTGCAATAAATGCTGTTTAAACTTTTCAAATGCCATAAACTTTTGGAATTAGAACTTCATCTTTACTTTTAAAGATTTAAAAATTTTATGAACTATACATATCTTAATTTTTACTTATAGTAATATAATTAGAACCTTTATCAAATGAAAGTTTCATGTTAACTTTTATGTCTATCATTTATTATTAATTTAGTTAGATGGAAGTTTTTTAATTTATGAGAAGATTTTTAGGTAAGAAAACTATAATATTAGAATTTTTTTTATCATTTTGCAAAATTGTACTTTAATCATCATATTAAATTAAGTTGGAAACATTTAACCAGTACAATGAACTTATATTTACTTTTATAATTTATAAATTAGAAAGGATTTCACATTTTGATTAATTCTAGTCCAAGTTTGTGTTCATGTAAATCATGTAGTTCTCGCTAGTTGTTTTTAAACTTGCTCGCTAGTTGTTTTTAAACTTGCTAAGGTTATTCCATTAGTCATATAATAATTAACAACCATTTAAGTTCTAGTATCTTGTAATTCAATCTTGTATATACCATCTTCTAAGCAAGCTATCCGTTAGTCACAAAACAATGTTATCTTTAATATTAGGGCCGTTTGGGACAGCTTATTTGGTGCAGTGACGTTTTAAAAACACACCCGGTATGTTTAGGTAAATAGCATTTTGGCAACTTCTGCATTTTCAAAACGCTGAAAAAAACGTTTTCACACCGCATCTATCTAGGTGTGGTGGTATTTTCTGGTTGTGGTCTAGCTTTTCCAAAAAAAAATAAAAATTTGTAATAGCTACCACGTCTAGCTTATCAGCAGATTATTTTTAATCAACTTATCAACATATTATTCAATAAGCTACAACTGCCCCAAACAGATCTTTAGTTTCTTATGCAATCCCTAAATAAATATCCTATGAATCACTTCACATATATAAACTTTTTTTTAGTGAAAATAAGCTCAAATTAAGCTTAATTTTAGTTATGATTTTGGAATTCATAGCTTGACTATTAAACTTACACTTTTCATTATGCTTTTGCTTGTGCTCACTCCATTTTAATTTAGAGAAAGTATGATTTGATCGTAAATTCCCAATGTAGGCATTATTAATGATGATCACATGATATTAACAATGTGGACCATAAAACAAGGAATATTATAAATCATGAATACAAATAATTTGCAAACTCATTCCAAGATTTTCTACTATTATTAATCTTCTAAAATTTGCATCTCAAAATAGCCATTTAACCATCCAACACAACTTGATAATAAGGGTATTACCTTCCAATAGAAATAGGCGACGCAACCCTCGTCAAGCTCGAGCCTCTTAGGAAACCCAAGCATTACTTTCTAACTAGTTTGCTTTCAACAAAGATATCTAAGTGAAAAATAAGTTTACTTTCCTCACAGAAGCATAAGGAAAGCAAAATCTAATTAAGTTTACCGCTCGGCCTATATCTCCATCGCCCCCCTTCTCCCGCTCTCTATTTCATACTTTTTTTCCAAAAGTTGCTAGAATTGTTCATCCCTCCGACGAGCGAACCGACTAGTCATTTCAAAGTCTTTCAATTTTAATCTTTTAATTAAATAATTAATACTGGAAAATAGAAGTTAATTTAAATAATAATAGTTATATAAATTTTATTGTTTGTTGAATTTTTAATTTAAATTTAATAAAAATACTTTATTTTAGTAAATTTTGGGTTATTTATCATATGGGAATAATCTGGCACCGTGGAAATGCTATGTAGATAAAGAAAACATGGAGATTAAGAAGATTGAACGAATGAACATATTGGAGGAAAGAAGGTGATAGGTTGAGAGAAAGAACCGATGTTGTCCCAAGGTGAATCAAATCTTAGAGCGGATGTCAAGATAAAGTCTTTCTTTATCCCGTCATCAATTATTTGAACACAACTTATTGCGTGCTATTTAAAATAATGACAAAACATATAAAAAAAATGGTAAATGACCATTTTACCTTTCGTAGCAGATAAAATTACAAAACAAATGACTAGTTATGAATATCTTGCACAAATTTGAATTAATATTATAACTATAATTTTTAGTACCTCATAATACTTAACCTTTACATATTTTGTTTTTAAATGAGCTTAGTACTTGTTTGTTCTTCTGCCTTTTTTTGTTGATTTTCTGCTAATTGTTCTGCTTTTTAGGTTATAAATGATTTGCTTGATCCTACGGGCCAAAATTTGCGTGTTCGAGAAGATGCCCAGGTTTGATTCTTAAATGCTTATTTAATTATAAGCCTTTAATGCAGCTTGTGTATATCTGTTTTATTTGATCTACTTGTTGCAACCTGTGTAGATTTTTTAACTGTCTCTGTTTATCATTACATAATCCATATAGAAGATTCACTAAATGTTGGTACTTCTTTTTTTGCAAATTTTACTCTGGTCCACAAGTTTTCCGTTTATAGTATGTTCTAATGGTCAACAGACAACAGCTGGTGCTATGTGCGTTCTGTGGCTATTATTTTCTTTCTCTATGTTCAGAAGTATTAAATGTTCATATTTTCGTCTGAATATAATAATGGCTGCACATAATTGATTTAAAATGGCCCCTTTTGTTCAAACTAGTGATTGATTTTGTGTAGAAGATGGATCAAATTGAGGTTCATTTTGCATCGTTAGTTCTACCTAACATGAGAAATTATTTTGGATCAATTTGGCCACACAAGAACAATAATGAGGTTGTCTTGGAATTGAGATTAATTTTTAAGTAAATGTTTATGTTTAATTTGCTATATTTGATTTCTTTTTAGTTTCTAATTTTAGAATCTAATCTACGTAAATTAAGAGTTGATCATTGAAGACATAGTTCTTTTTTATTTAGTTAAACTATAATATTTTTATTTGCTGCAAATATGCTTCTATTTTTCCTTAATTTTTTATCACATATTTTCAAATGCACTCTCCTCCAGATCAAATTCTAAATATTTATTCAAATTTCAGATTTGAAATATTTATTTAATTTTCAAATGGCTTTAGGTTATCTATATATATATATTTCTATTTTTATATAAATATAAATAAAATTTATTTCTTTGTAAAGTTTAAGATTTTTTATCAACCTTTTAATTCATATATTCTTGAAATTGTATTTCTTACCACGATCTCACAATTTTTAATTTAATAATTCATAAATTTAAACTAAAATAATTATTTTTAAAACTGAAGCTAAAAGCTTCCTGTCTCGCCGTCCCTCTGCTGGTTTGTACACTCACCGCCCATGAGAGAAACCTTGTAGTGCGATCTGCGGTCGTTACTTTTGTTGCGCATGTCGTAATACCTACCGTACATGTCGTTTCGCAGTCAGCCCACCGCCTGCTCCTACCGTTTAGCTTGTACTCCTGCGCGTTGCTTGCTCGGCCCGCACTCGCTACAGCTGCTCTGCCTCCGCACGCGACCTCGTTCCTTCTGCACGCGGCGCTCGTCCTCATTGTTCGTCCATGCACTCTCGCGCATGTTTTTCTTTCAGGATTCAAGTGATTGGAAAACCTCGCTCCCTCCGTCTCCTATTAGCGGAACCGATTAGCGTCGCTTTTAAAATTATTAAACCTCGCTAGGCGGAACATTATAACAAAATAGCGTATCGCAAGCATTTGTGACTGAAATAAGGTTATCCGCATTCCGCAGCTTTGTTTGGTGCATTTGGCGAGGAGAAAGATGAATTTTAACTAAGTTTACAATCCATGGCATTAGGGTTGTTTAAGTAACGTGGAAATAACTTATCATGGTGAAAATGTCTTAGTTGTTAGATGTTCTGTAAATAATTTAACGGTATTTTATTTTATGTATAATAAACGAATGAATGCTGTTTCTGTTGATATGGAAAGCTTATTTAGTTTTGCCTTCTTATTTGAACTTTACATTTTGGGACGCTCTATAGATATCATTTTAGGGTCAGCTTTACCTTCTTCTTATATTTGCTTGTACTTTATTGCTTGAGGTCTCAACCTTGACTAGCAATAAGACATTGTAGGGAACTTATGTAGAGGGCATAAAAGATGAAGTCGTTCTATCTCCTGGTCATGCACTTTCTTTCATTGCTGCTGGAGAAGGTATGCAGATTTCCTAACACATTTCATTTTTTTCAGCGCTTTGTCATATGTTTTGTGAACTGCCAAGTGGATATTTTAAAGCTGTAATGCATGAGAGTGTTTAGTTGTTTTCGGTGATAACTGATAAAGGGTCATGTACACCAGCTTAGATTTCTTCATTATTGGATTATTAATGCTGTTCTGCTGAGTTTTTTTGTCTTATTAATTTTGAATATTCATGTGCTTGTCATTTGTTTTGTATTTAGCTATTGTTATTGTTTTTTCTCATTTTTGAATTTGTTTTTAATAAAGTAGAAATGCAATGAGAAGCTCCTCAACCACTGCAAGAAGCATTGGCCTCTGTTGGGATCATTTTTTTATTTTTAAAGAATAGTAAAAATGGTACTTTAAGTTTATTTATTCACTTATTTCTAATGGGGATGTGGAAAAGCATGATGATTGCTGGTATGAATTCTAGGCCAGGCCTGGATGCGTGGTGGTGATGATTGAGCCTCATAGTACAGAGGTGGATTGGAGAGTGATGTGAAACACTTAAATATGAATATGTAGAGGAAATCAATTTATTCATAAGATAAAAGTACATCCATAGTTCTATGGATGAGCTACCAAGCTCTCCGTAGGATAGAGACCACCAAGTCTGATTCTAAACTAACCATTAAAGCAACTGTTTTCCAAGCACTTCCTCTTACATGACCTTATATTATATGCGTCTCTCCACATACAAATAATAATAAAAAATACAGTAAAGGGTTGATCAAAACAATTTAGTTGAAAAATAATTTGCCAAATTGACTCTTTAAATTGCCTAGATGCCAAGGCTGGCCACTCCTTTGAACCGAATTTGTAATTGTCTTTTGATTTTCCTTTCTTTGACTTTAAAATTCCCAAGCTTGCATGGTTTAGCACCTCTTGAAATGATGCCTCCTTTCCATGTTTTCTTTTCCTTTGGTAGCTTGGGATGGCCAAGAATGTTGGAGATGACACTTGGTATCTCTTTATGCATGTGCCAACTGAAAGAAAACTAATTATGCTTCTTGAAAACGTTCATTTTGTCTTGAATTTATTACATTAAGCCACCTTCAAAAAAAATATTTTCCAAGCATGAAATTTAAATTTTATAGCACGCGACATTCATGTTCAGCAATGACTTGAAAACCCTCGTTTTGCTTGATAACCTTCGGCTCACTTTCATTACCCTGATGGAAGGATAAATATGATATGAATATGGACTCTAAAATGATAATTAATACTATAAATAAAACTATCCATATGATAACCTATTGCAAGACACCTTACAACTGTACAATTAATTTCTTGTCACTGGTCAACATCTTCATGGCTAAGAAAAAAACAAAAGCAAAGCAGGCGTTGTTGCCAAATCTAATTGCGTCTAGGCGGATGAAAAGGTTTTTTGTTTGATTTATGCATGTGGGAGATGTATGTAAATAGTTGTAGTGATTGCAAAGGCAATTGCTTCGATAGAGGAGGAAGAAATAGCTTCGGTCATGCCTTGCAAATTCTTTTGAATTGTTCTTATGTGTTATTGAAGTTGAGGACTACCGACATTGTCCCAATCAAGAGCCATTGAGCTGACTTTTGATGTCATCCTCAACAATTCTTTATTGCCCCAACAGATTAGTGCACAACATTTATTTTTCTAATTTTGAAATAATAAATAAATAAAAATATAGATATATTTTTTTATTTCATGCCAGAATATACAAAAATTAATACGAACAGTAAGTATGATTCTAAATGTTCCTTTGGTTAAAGCTTGAAGTTGGAATTGAATTTGTTGCTCTTTTAATTAATTATTTTAACATCTTGGAATATATTTTGCTGGGTTGTGAATTTCTTTTATTGCCATTTGGTATTTTCTTTTGCAGTGTTATTTGTGTTGTTCTAAACTAATGTTCTAAAACCAAAGCCATCTTAAGAAACTTTCTATGTCATGATCAAATTGCTTTAAAGGTTAAAAAATGAAGGTTTTTTATGACTATGAACCAAAATTGATTTTTAGTGATTTTATATCTAGACAATCTAATCTTTGAGATTAGTTTTTAAAGAAAATTAGTGTGATCGTGGGAGGAACCAAATGCCATGACTTGGTCTGATAACTTAGAATTAACCAAGTTAAGAACTTTGGTCTCAATGTTTTAATATTTTATTTACTTTCCACAATTTTCAAAACTTCTAATTTTTAAAAGTATCGATAAAAAATCACAAAATACACTAAATAAAATTTTAAATCATCCAAAAACAACAACATAGTTTGCAATTAAAATATCTCAACCAACACACAACAATATCACTACTTTGAAGTAAATAGTACAATAGCTACACACACAACGCAAAACATAATGTCTATCCACAATAGTCCTATAAACTAAATCCCTTTTGTCAAATATATCAATCTACAATTTTTTCTATAAGCAACAATTGAATTCAATTAGTAAGCTATTTCGATTTTATTTGGCGTTAAATTTGTATGTAAATATTATGCTTGAATGTTCAAAAAAGAAATGCAGTTAATTAATTAAGCTGTACACTTTCATTTAAAATTTAACTATTTCAATTTTAATTTAAATATTTACCTTTCTTAGCATATTTAAGAAGTCATATTATGATTACCTTCATATCCGAAGGTATTCTCAAAGTTGTACGCATAGGTACCCCTAAAATTTAACACCCGATGATACGCCTTTATCATTTATATTTCTTTTTTTTTTGCACGAGTACATTGCTATTCTTGTCGGTACCATTTGAGGGTAATCTTGAATGACATAAGCCTTGACATTTCATTTCTTTAAAATTACTTTCTCTTAAAGTCATTGAACAATCATTTTCTATTTTTTCCATTTCAATGATTCTCTTAACTTACAACATACATAATTATAAGTGCACTTATCGTGGTCTGTTGGTAGAGCAGCCTCTCTGAAAGTCGTAAGTCCCTTCAGGTCACAGGTTTGAATCCCTTCGTGTGTAGGGTGCGACACTCGAATATTTAGCACACCTAGGGATGACCAGAGCTTGTCTAATAGCTTTCAAACATTCCTTTCTTATTTAAAAAAAAAAACATACATATAATTACAAAAGTTGGTATCGGAAGCCATGATGATAATCTTTATTTAATAAAACAAAAATTTAATACTCGCATTTGCTTTAAAAGACCTCTTTAGAAGCTTAATCCTGTGATTACTTCTTTTTACCATCACCTCTTTTTTGGCTCAACTTCTTTTGTCCAATTCACAATCCAAAACCTTAATTCATTAAATAAAATTTTCTTTAATCACAATTTAAATTAATAGCATCTATTTAATTTAGAAAATAAACGCCCAAATTTTACCTTAACCAAGTTTGGTCGGATCAAACTCTCTCTGAGCTAAAATTTTTATATCTTGAATCCTGATTAAATCAAATTTTGTATTAATTGTATATATATTCATTAAATAACTTAATCAAATCCTAACTTTCTTTATCCTCTTCTACCGCTTGTTAAAGCTTCAACTCTGCCTCTCACGCACGAGCCACCTCCCTTTTCTTCTTCCCTCGAGTGTGGCTTGACTTCAACCTTCACGGCGAGTCGGCTTCCTCGTCTTCCTCCTCTTTCTTTGTACGTGAGTCACTATATCCCCTTTTTTCTCCCCTTCCTCTACACGCAAGGCTCTTTATCCCGTGTTCCTCCTCTTCCTTTGCATGGAAGGCTCGGCTTCCCCTTGCTCGCACTCGACTCCGCCTCCTCCTTTATGCTTCCTTCGATTAGGGCATGATGTTGCCTCTTTCGACAATTCGAGCTTCAAAGCTTTTTGCGCCTGCAATCGGTGATTTCTTTCCTTCCCTATCTTCTTCATCTTTTTATTATTTATTCTTCCTTCGCTCGATCACTCTACTCTTAAGCTCACTTTCCCAGTTTCGTTGGTTCGAAAAAAAACACATATGACTCTTAAGCCCAACTATAATGATGTTTATCTCACAGTGTCAATTCAATTATTATTTATTTGTTTGTTGATTAATAACTTACAGTAATTACACCAAGTGTAGTTACATGTTGGCTTGATCTGATCTTAATTTGTGTTTGATTCAAGTCATTAGTTTTGGTCTTTGCTTGAATGGTGTTGGAAAAATTATTAAATTTTTAGTTTTTGTTTTAATCGAAGCTCAGTTCTATTTATTGATGTTTCTTATTTCATGGTTATGCCCTATCGTTATGCCCTATCAGTCCTCCCAACTAATCAATTCATTTTAGTATTTTGCTTTTGTTTTTGAAATAATAAATTCATAAAATACCAAATGTATTTTTATTTGATGATAATAAATAAAGGAAAATAAAACAAAATAAAATAAGAAATGATGCAAGTGATTCGAACAACCTTTTAATTAAAGTTTGTTGATGGAATTGAATTCATTATTTTTTTAAATGATTATTTTGACAACTTGGAAGGCACTTTATTAGCTTGAGAATATTTTTCATTGTTTAATAATATTCATTTTTGAGTAATATTTGCGCTGCTTTTAATTAAAGCTTCAAAATGGGAACGATATTACGTAAATGTTTTTATATCGATCAAATTTCTTTAAAGTAAAATTGCACATCTTTCATTCATATAAGCCACTGTTTTAGTTCATGAGGTATTTAGTTATTATTGATTTGGCCTCAAGCACTTTGGCCTTTGTTCGGGATTGGCTTTACGATATTTTGATTGCTTTTGAGCGGGACCAACTTTAATTGTTGGTTGGTTCCATCTAATCTTTATTTTGGCTATATACAACTCTTTCTCTCTCTCTCTCTCTCTCTCTCTCTCTCTCTCTCTCTCTCTCTATATATATA